CAATAAAACCTATATATAAAGTATGAAGATGGAAGAGAGGAAATTAATCTCAATAAATATAAACGGACTCAATTCAGCCACCAAAAGAAAGACAGTATTTCACAAATTAGAGAAATTAAAAGCTGATATAATATGTCTACAAGAAGTACATATTAAAAAAAACAGCATGAACACCTATTGACACAACCAAAATTGGGGAAAAAATTTTCATCACTAGCCCAAAACAAAAAAAAAAAAAAAAAGAGGCATTGTAATATATATATTAAAAAAACAATTTTGGCAGAATGTAAATACTCAGATTTGGACGGAAGAATTTTGAAGGTGGAAATACTCGATAATAACAGAAAAATTCTTTTAATAGCAATTTATGCTCCAAATGAAAACCAAAGTGACTTTTATAGAAGACTACATAATAAAGTAACTGAAATGGATTATGACAACATATGCATGATGGGAGATTTTAATGGAATTGTGGAGGAAAATTGGGACTACAAAACGAATAAAGCAACAAAGCACAGTAGAAAAATATTGCCAAAGTCCTTTTTCAAGATGATGGAGGAAATGAATATGAAAGATATATGGAGAGAAAGAAATAAAAGAAAGAAACGATATACATTTTATTCAGACAGACATTTATCGTGGTCTAGGTTAGACATGATATGGTCAACAATGGAATTGTTGTTGAATATAGAACATGTGGAAATAGAAACTAATTTATGGGCGGATCATAACCCGGTGATGATAAATTGGAAAAGACAAAAAAGAAGAGCTAGATGGACTTTAAATAATACAATATTAAAAGAGCAAGAGTTTGTGCAGAAGATGGAAAAAGAACTGGCTTTTTCTTTAAGGAAAACAAGAAAGATGAGACATCTATACAAATCTGCTTGGATATAATGAAGGCATTTGCTAGAGGATTAATTATAGATTATACAAGAAAAAAGAATGTAAAAAAAAGATTAACACTGAAAACATTGACTGACGATTATAAGAGATTTGAGAAGGAACTTCAGAATGATCCATATAAGAAGATTGTCAAAATTAAAATGAATACAGTAAAACATAAAACGGATCTATTGGAGAAGGAAGAACTGGCTCAGAAGATAAGAAGTGCTAAACAAAACTCTTTTGAAAATGCAAATAAACCAGGCAGATGGTTAGCATATAAATTGAAAAAGGAAAGAGAATCGAGGAACATAATACACCTTATTGATGAACAAGGGGAAAGCAAATTTGGACATAAAGAGATGGGAAAGATTATACATGAGTTTTACAGAAAGCTTTATAAAAGAGAGACAATAGAGGAGGAGGAAGTGTCCAAATACTTACAAGATGCAAATTTACCTCAGATTAGTAAAGATATTGAGGAGATGTTGGAAAGAAACATAACAATGATGAAGTTAATAGAAGCAATTAAGAAACAAAAAAATGGCAAAGCACCAGGGCCTGATGGCCTACCAGCTGAATATTATAAGACATTACAAGAACCTTTGACCATACCATTACTGGAGGTGATGAATGAAGTGATGATAAAGAAGGAAATACGCAAATCTTGGACAGAGGCATATATTACTTTGATTCATAAGGAAGATACAGACCCACAACAAATCAAAAACTATAGACCTATATCTTTGTTAAACTCAGACTACAAAATTTTTGCTTCAATATTGGCGGAGAGATTTAAGAGATACTTAAATAATTTCATACATTCGGATCAAAATGGATTTCTTCCAAAAAGACAAATTAGGGATAACATAAGAATAATCTTGGACACTTTAGAGTATTATGAAGCACACCCTGAAAAGCAGATGGCTTTGGTTTTTTTAGATGCGCAAAAAGCCTTTGACAACGTTAACTGGAAGTTTATGACCCTTCAAATGGAAAGAATGGGCTTTGGGAGGAAATTTGTACAGGCCATTGAAACTATCTACTCTAAACAAATGGCAAAAGTAATGATAAATGGAGAATTGACGGATGTGATTGAAATAGAAAAAGGCACGAGACAAGGATGTCCTTTATCCCCATTGCTGTTTATATTGACACTAGAAGTTTTAAATAGACATGTCAGAGGAGAAAAAGAGATAAAGGGCATGAAGATTCGAAAGGAAGAATACAAGCTCCAAGCTTTTGCAGATGACTTGGTTTTTATTATTGAAGAACCATTAACAACAATAAGTAAATTAATAGAAATTATTGGAGATTTTGGAAAAGTAGCTGGTTTGAAAATTAATAAGGATAAAACTAAAGTAATGACTAAAAATATGTTGAAAAAACAGAAAGAAGAGTTGATGGAGATTTCGAAAATGCAGATTACAAACAAAGTGAAATACTTGGGGACACATTTAACACCAAGATGTAGTGCTTTGAAAGAAAACAATTACAACAAGCTTAAACAACAGATAGGGCAAGATTTGTTAAAATAGGGCAATTTACAATTGTCTTTGATTGGTAGGATTTCAACCATTAAGATGAACATCTTGCCTAGAATTCTATATTTATTTCAGTCAATTCCAATTAAGCTGGATAAAGAATTTTTTATAGACTTAGATAAAATGATAACGAGATATATATGGCAAAGGAAAAAGGCGAGAATAAAGTTAAAGCTATTACAAGATGCTAAATCAAGGGGTGGCTTCGGTCTGCCTAATTTTGAATGGTATTATCAAGCTGCAAGTTTAACGTGGGTGAAAGAATGGATAACTCTGAGGAATATTAGACTATTAAATTTGGAGGGACATGATTTGTTGATGGGTTGGCATGCTTTCTTATGGTACAAAGGAACAAAAATACAACGGTATTTCAGAAAACATCAAATACGTGAAGCTTTATGGCTGACTTGTTATACCTGTTTGGATATCTACAGCAGAGGCTTTTTCTTATCCCGTAATATTTAGAAAGGAACAAACTATTAGCTATAGTGAACTATTGGATGAAAAGGGTGAACTCAAATTAAAACAGGAACTAGAGGAACAGGGATTTAAGATGGATTGGTTTTCATATATGCAAATATTTTCTAGGTATTGAGAAGATTGTAAGCAAAGAAGGGTTTTACAATGCTTTGACTAATTTGGATAAGATTTTAATGGGAGCAGACGATCATATTATTAAAAAGCAGTATGGGTTTTTGCAAGAGTTAAAACTGGAAGAAGAACAAGTTAAAGAATCGATGGTAGCATGGGGGAAAAATTTTGGTTATGAGATTGATTTAGAAAAATGGCAAAAATTGTGGTCTCATAACTATAAAATGACAATGTCTACAGCATATAAGAAAAATTTGTATAAGATGTTTTACAGATGGCATTTATCCCCATCGAGAATCGCCAGAATGTTCCAGAACAAATCGGAGAGGTGTTGGAAATGTCATCAGACCCAAGGATCCTATTACCACATGTGGTGCACATGCCTAGAAGCAAGGAGATATTGGACTAAGATACACATGTGGTTGGAAAAAATGACCAAGAGACTCATAGACTTTAAACCAGAGATATTTTTATTAGGGATTTTACCAGAAATATATAACAAAGAACTGCAGTATTTAATTGTGAATTAAAATTGGAAAGTAGAAATGATACCTACAATGAAGAAATTATTAGTAAAAGGTTGGACTGTGCCGAAATGAGTAAACTGACATTAGAAATAAGAGAGCAGGAAGAAAAACAATATTATTTGATATGGGATTTATTTTACCATTGGGTAGATAATAAAAAATGGTGATATATAAGTAATTGCTGAAATACTTGAAATGATGATACAATTGATATATTTTACATAAGAGTAAGTTTTGGATATGTAGTGATATTGTGAAGAGAGGAGAGGGCACTAGGGATGCAAACCAACCGATGTACTGTCTGTACTTGATTGAATGAATGATGTTTGTCTGTTTTATTCTTCTTCTTCTTCTTCTTTTTTTTTTAAATAAAAAATGATTTGGCAAAAAAAAAAACAAACAGTTTTTTCCCGAACGCCATCATTCTGCTAAATAAATAATTCCCTCAACACTGTCAAACTATTTACTAAGTCTGCACTACTATCAATCTTCTCATCGTTCCCACCACCCATCTCCTCCCACTTATGACTGTATGACTATAACCTTGTTGCTGGTATCCTTATGATTTATATTGATATTGTTTCCTGATTGTTTATTTGTAACCTATGACTATCATTAAGTGTTGTACCTTATGATTCTTGATAAACGTATCTTTTCTTTTATGTACACTGAGAGCACCAAGACAGATTCCTTGTGTGTCCAATCACACTTGGCCAATAAAGAATTCTATTCTATTCTATTCTATTCTATTCTATTCTATTCTATTCTATTCTATTCTATTCTGATGTTTGGAATTGGGAAACAGGAATTTCATGGCTTTTTTTGTGAGGACTCTGGCTGTTGATAACGTAAAGTCATTAACCTTGAGGTATGAATAAAAGACAGTGAGGTCTTTTGTGAAGTGAATACCGTATGTTCTGTTTAATTAATTCCAGTGAGGTAGGCCACTGTTTGTTATATTATCTGAAATAATGGATAACAGGCAGTGGTGAAATGTAAAATTTGTTTCTACCGGTTCTGTGGGCGTGACTTGGTGGGGGGTGGTAATGTGACTGGGTGGGTTTAGCCAACTTCTTTTTTTTAAAACCATTTTTTCTACAGCCTCTTTGGCTGAAAAAAATGCTTTTAAAAGGCTCTGCCGATCAGGCAACTCAGCTGGGATCATCAGAGGCTTTTAAAAGCATTTTTTCTACAACCTCAATGCTTTTAAAAAATAAAAAAAAAGCTTCTGATGATTCTGCGGCTCAACTGGGCATGGGGTGGGGCCCAGGGACTTTTGCTACCAGTTCTCTGAACCACCTGCCTCCATCGCTACCGGATTGGGCGATCCGGTCTGAATGGGGAGCATTTCACCCCTGATAACAGGGCACATACTGGATGCAAAAATAGAAAGAGTACACCATGTACTATAAATAAATATATGACTAATATTGCTGCTATTTATTGTTCACAGGTGAGGTCAATGTCACTGATGTACCTTCTCCAATTTCATCTGGAAATTCAGAAAACGTATCTTCTATAGTTAGTCCTGTCACTGACAGTGGTTTAGAATTATCTTCCCAAATTCGCTCAAAGGATGATCTTACAGATTTACAACTTGTCAAATCTTTGGGAATCAGTACAACAATGCCCTTAAATGATTTTAGAGCCAGAGAGCAGTTAGAACCACAGGTATGAATTTACTTTACAGCGCAGTTCAGCAGACCAATGTACCAGTGACAGTTATAAAAGTGCTTTTATTTTATTCAGTTAGCCAATGTAATTTTAAATAGCTTGATTTTAATTTTCCCTCCAAACCAAAAGGAAGAGTCTATTAACAAATTGGCATGTAAAAAGTATGATTAAAATGAGCCATGGTGGCGCAGTGGTTAGAATGCAGTACTGCATGCTACTTCTACTGACTGCCAGCTGTCTGCAGTTCGGCAGTCGATTCTCACTGGCTCACGGTTGACTCAGCCTTCCATCCTTCCAAAGTCAGTAAAATGAGGACTAAAATTGTTGGGGGCAAGAGGCTGACTCTGTAAACCGCTTAGAGAGGGCTGTAAAAGCACTATGAAGTGATATATAAGTCTAAGTGCTATTGCTAAAAGAGGCTGAAACAAAAAAATAGGGTGATGGGTACATCACTGTATTTTCTGAGTAGCTCTGTAAATAGGTGTAAAGGTAATAAGATGAAGAATATTTTTCTGTGTGTATGAATTTGATTTCCAATCTACTTTTTATGAAACTTGCAAAACAATTATTTCAATTAAAAATAGTAAAGCGCTCTATTTCAAACATTAATAACTGCTATCTGTGTATGTAGGTCTTCTCAAGCATAGTTTGCATTACCAAAACTACTTTTCATGAAGTTAGATAGCACTGACCTTACACTATTTGGACTGATTTGGATTATGAATGTCACAAATCTTTTAAGGTGAAGAGCAATTTTACAGTGGGACAAATTGCCTCCATAAATTTTTGAATAAAGTAGGCAAATTGGATGACTATGAAATATTTAAGAATACAATTTCCAGTTTTTCTCGTCTTTGGCAAGATTGGTGGAAATTGAAAATTAAACTTTTAAAAGGCTTTTACTGTTGAATATATTACTATTCTTGAAGTGTTAGAAATAGAAAATCATTTGCTGCTATTCTAGATGCAAGATGTCTATCCACAGAGCTGAGTCATTTTAATTAAGAAGACTGATTTTTTTTCTTTTAGTGTATGGGTTTATTTATGTCAGTGAAGTAGTATATAGGATTACTTTGTCACTTAACAATATTAGCCTGTGCTAATTTTCTGCCTTATTATTGTTGTGATTAAAGAATGAATGTCCTCAGAGGGAAAAGACTCCAACTGCCTCAGTAGAATCCATCCCAGAGGTTCTTGAAGAGTGCACTTCTGTAACTGAACACTCAGATTCTGTTTCAATTCATGACATGGACTATGTTAACCCTCGAGGTGTACGATTTACTCAGTGTTCTCAAAAAGAGGGTGAGTGCATTGGAAAAACGTACTATAATAGTAATTTCTGTTTTCATTCTATGTCTTTAAAAATATCCAAATACCATTAATTTCCCTCTATCAAGAATAATATATCTCTAACTAATTGGAAGGATACTGAGCAGGAGTGCTATAGTTGCAATGTTTTCGTGTGTTCTCTCTTTCAAGGAACAACATTAGTCCCTTATGGATTGCCCTGTATTCGTGAACTACTGCGTTTCCTCATCTCCCTCACGAATCCACATGACCGACACAATTCTGAGGTGATGATCCACATGGGTCTACAGCTACTCACAGTTGCTCTTGAATTGACTTGTGTGGCAAACTGCCCATCTCTCTTAGGACTTATAAAAGAAGAATTATGTCGGTATCTCTTTCAAGTAAGCATGAACATAATATCTTTCTCATTTTTAAAGATATGGCATGTATGTTGAAGTCTTTTGGAATAATTATTTTCTATATGATTTTAGGTTGGGATGGTGGAAAGAATAGATTTATATTCATTATCTTTGAACTTTTCATTCATTCCCAGTTATTGAACATGGAGCGGCTCAATTTATATTCAGCTTCCCTTAGGGTTTGCTTCCTTTTATTTGAGAAAATGAGAGAGCACTTGAAATTCCAACTGGAGGTGAGCCTCTTGAAGTATGTTACCTAATCTTTGGAAGAAATTATTCCCATTTGGGGGAAGGTCTGGGGACCTTTTGAAAAAAATATTCTATATCATTAAAATGCTCAGTAGAAATGTTCATATACTTCCATTTTTAAATTTTATTTTCTATTAAATACATTTCTTAGTGCTTAATAAACATGTTGTCTTGCAGTTTTGTGCTCTTATATTTTAATGTATTCATTTATAATGATACATTTTATAATCAAATTGTTTTGAAACTCCAATTGCAAAGTCTGGAATAGAAAAGTAAGAGTGGAGACCAGGAAAAGAAACAATCACTTATAATATTCACCCATGTTATAGATGAATCACATATATATCCTATAAACTGAACTATCCTATATCTTTCTGCCAGATGTATATCAAGAAACTGATGGAGATCATCACAGTGGAAAGCCCCAAGATGATTTATGAAATGAAGGAGATGGCCCTGGAGGCTATAGTTCAGCTATGGAGGATTCCTAGCTTTGTAACTGAACTCTACATTAACTATGACTGTGACTATTACTGTGCTAATCTTTTTGAAGACCTCAGCAAACTACTATCCAAGGTCCTGACGAAGAATTTCTTTGGTGTTTTCTTTTCAGTACAATTACAAGCACAAAATAATAAACCATGTTTATTTTGTAAGGAAAACCTAGGAAACTTCTCCATAGACTGCAAAATTTGACTCCCAAGTCTCACGCGATTGTACTCTCTCCTTTCTCATGCCTCATTGAATTGCTAAAAAGGGGAAAATTCACCGTATAACCAGATCAGAGCTTTTAAGTACCCTAGAAATGCTTCAGAATATCACCTAAAGTTACCAGTAGAGGCTTTTTAAAATCTTTACTATAGGTAGGAATATTTTCTGAAGAGAAATTCAGTTGGAAGGGCTATTTTTAGTCCTGTACCTTTTCCTCAGAAAAATGCCTCATACTGTAATCAGGCTTTAAAACATAACCATGATTGTTGGTGGAAATACTTTGAAATCTAATGTGCTTGAGTTAAACCTGTTTACGGGGGAAAGAAAATAAATGTTAGGTCTATATATACAAAAAATCATTTTGGACTGTGATTCTGTGGACTATCATGCTGTTTCCAGAATGCTTTCTGGAAGTTTGACACTGAGGACAAAATAGCCCTGTCTTATTCTTGGTTAGGTCTGTGCTATTTAGTAAATTATCCTTATTGTTTTCTTCTACAAAATGTGAAAATTGGGAATTGGGAATATTTTATGAGGAATTCCTAACCACTGTGATTTCTTTTTATCAAGAATGGTATAAAATCTAAACAGAAAATAATGGGAGTTCAGATTCTTTCACAGTATCACTGTGGATGGGAATACTTAGCTACAAATGTAAATTAAATTTACAGTGAATTTCTAGACCTGGGGATCCCATGGACAGATTTTAGGGCATCCATGAATTGGGAAAGAAATTTAGTTTCATTGTTTTACTTCATTGTTTTACTTCATGTAAAACATGTTTTAAATTCTGGGTTTCACCAGACCTGCAAAGGAATTCATAACAAAAAAATTGTTAAAAACTCCTGATTTAATGACCAACTACTGCCTACCTGATCATAATGCTGAGGATAATGTGAAAAAAACGGAGACAATCTAGAGATTTGGTTGACCACAATCTAAGCATAGTTATAAATAATGGGGATGCCAGTTACTCTGGCAGTTACTCAGTATACTCTGAGATATGCCTGCTTAGATTGTGATCAACCAAATCTCTAGATATCCTATGTTATTGGGCTTTTAAAACTATAGAACAGAGTAGACCAATGCAACACAATCCTAGATTTAATCCGAAATGGGGACTGTGATCAGATTTGAAATGAGTTTGAACACAGATGGGAAATGATGATTATTGTACTGGTACACTTAGCATATAAGCAAATGGAAATTGCTTGCAGGGTGTAACATAGTCACATAGCATCTACAAAAAAGGAAACATAAAAAATGAGGGGGCTGAGAAACACAGACTGGAAGAAAAGTCAAGAGAGAGAAATTGTAAGACCTAGAGCTTATTTAAAACCACAGTAATTAAAGCTTAACTGTCTTTATTATATTTAATGTAAGAAAGGATCATCTGTAAAAATTAAGAAGGCTTTTTTTCAGCATGTTTCCAACAAAGAGAACAGAAAGAAGCAAAATCTCTGGTAGATAAAATGTAAGGTAATAACAAAAAATGAAAAAACAAAGAATCTCATGAGAGACTAAGGGGAAACAGATTTCGTTAAATTCAATCAGGCTATAAATTGATGAAATAAGAGGGATTTTCAAGTATGATGGGGAGTTTGCAGAAAAATGATTTATTTGCATCTCTCCTTGATGCATAATATGTTGAAAAGGTACCTGAGCCATTATGATTTTCTTAGGGAGGAAATCAGAACCAAGAAAAATTGAGGAACAAGAGAAGAATCATCAAAATTTGCTGCTATCTACATAAGAGTTCTTAAAGAATTGAATGTGAAAATGTTTTAACTCTCTAGAAAAAATGTGTAACTTGTCATTCAAATCATACTCAGTGTCAGGAGTTTGGAAAATAGTGTTATACCAGTTTTTAAAAGTGAAATGGGAAGATCCAGGAAATGTCCAAATTATGCAACTAATGCATAGATACCCAGTGAATTGGGCATTTCAACCACATTTCTACTCTGTGTTTGGGATGGGCATCTTATAATTATTGTAATTCATGACTTACAATCGATCGATTAATCGCTGTTCAAAGTTAGGCAGATCCCCCCAAAAGCTATTTATGACCTGGTCCCGAAGTAATTGGTACTCCCATGCTCATTCGCCCTTAAGACTGACCATAGGGACACTGCAGTACCCCTGCCTACCTTCTCCTCCACCCTGGCCCTGCAAGCATTTCCCAATGACTCCCCACTAGACCTAGGCTTGATTCTCATTCCACCAGGCTCCACCATTCTTTCTCACTTAACTTTTTTTTTTTTATTGAAAAGTTTTATGAAAAATACAAACATTTTCACCCCCCCACCCTTCCCCCCTCAACCCTCCCTCCCCTTCCCACCCTCCCTTCCCCTCCCTCCCCCCACCCCCCTCCCTAGACTTCCCAGAACGAGCACAGGGTATAGCATTCACAAACCAAGAACTAAAATGTGCTAACAAATTATTACATTTCATATTCTCCCTAGGTCCTTAACTCCTTATAACTCAGAAAAAACAAACATAAACTACTTAATATTATTTCATTCATAAGCTATATGAATCTTCTTATTCGGATACTTCTTCTGTATGTAATCAATCCATTTTCTCCATTCCGATATATATCTCTCATTTGAATGGTCTTTAAGGTATGATGAAATTTTTGCCATTTCCGCCAAATGCACAACTTTTAATGTCCATTCCTCAGTAGTAGGTGGATCTTCCAGTACTGTGCCACCAGTAATCTGGCAGCTGTTATTAAGTTCAAAACCATCTTAGTCTCTATTACAGTACAATCCGTAACTATTCCCAACAGAAAAAACTGTGGTGTAAACTTAATTTTTTTCTTCAAAATATTTTGAATAATCCACCATATTTTTATCCAAAAAGCCTTAATCTTTTGACATGTCCACCATATATGAAAATATGTAGCATCTTCACACTCACATCGCCAACACTTGGGTTGTAAATTTGGATACATATAAGCTAGTTTTTTTGGGTCTAAATGCCATCTATAAAACATTTTGTAAAAATTCTCCCTTAAATTTTGTGCTTGTGTAAATCTTACATTTCTAACCCATATCTTTTCCCATGTTTCCATCATTATTGGTTCACCTACATTTTGTGCCCATTTTATCATACAACCCTTGACTAAGTCTGTTTCTGAATCTATTTCCAATAATGCATTGTACAACCTTTTTATGTGCATTTGACCTTCATCTCTTATTTGCTTTATCAAATTCTCATCCTGCTGCAAAATACCAATTTTTTGATCTTCTCTCCATCTGGCCAGCAGCTGTCCATATTGAAACCAAGTCTTAATAGTCCCTTCTTCTTTTAATTGTTCCATGGATTTTAACTGTAGTCTGACTCCTTCCTTATAAAGGAGTTCCTTATATGTAATCTTATCTTGCTTTTGCTCTAAATTTATGTTCTCTATCGCGTGTCTGGGTACTGTCCATATTGGTAACCTATCATTTAGTTTATATTTATACTTTTTCCAGACATGCAATAGAGCATTTCTTAATATATGACTTTTAAAAGTCTTATCTACTTTTTTATCATACACTAAGTAAGCATGCCAGCCATAAACCAAACCATATCCTTCAATATTCAATATCTTTTCCTCCGTTAAGTTTATCCAATCTGTGATTGCTGAGAGGGCAGCAGCTTCATAATACAATCTTAAATTGGGCATCTTAAGACCACCTCTTTCTCTAGTATCTTGCAATATCTTTTGTTTGACTCGTGGTTTCTTCCCTGCCCACACAAACTTATTTATGCCCTTCTGCCATTCCTTCAAATTCTCATCTTTTTTAAGTATTGGTATCATTTGAAAAAGAAATAGAAATTTTGGTAAAATATTCATTTTTACAGCAGCTATCCTTCCCAGCAAAGACAGTTGTAGTTTTTTCCAGTTGTCCAACTCTTTCTGTATTTTGTGCCATAATGGTTCATAGTTATACTGATATAATTTCGTATTTGCGGTCATAATATAGACCCCCAGTTATTTAACCTTCTTAACTACTTCAAATCCTGTTAACCTTTCTATCTCTTCTTTTTGGCTCCTAACCATATTTTTAGCTATTATTTTCGTTTTAGCTGCATTTATTTTAAAACCAGATACTTGTCCGTATAAGCAGGTTATATCCATCAAGGCTGTAATCGATTGTACCGGTTGGGTTAAGGTAACAACCAGGTCATCCGCAAATGCTCGTACCTTGTATTCATGCTGTCTAATTTTAATTCCCTTAATTGTATTCATCTCGCGTATCTTGTTTAATAAAATTTCCAGCGTCAAAATGAACAATAACGGGGACAAGGGACAGCCTTGCCTTGTTCCTTTTTCTATATTAAAAACATCTGTTAAACCACCATTAACTATTATTTGCGCTGTTTGTTTTTGATATATTGCCTTAATAGATTGTACAAATTGTTCTCCAAATTGCATCCTTTCTATTAGTTTAAGTAAAAATTGCCAATTCAATCTATCAAAGGCTTTCTCAGCATCCAAGAACACAAGCACTGCGGGGACCTGGTTGTTCCTTCCCAAATACTCTAATAAGTTAACAATTTGCCTTACATTACCCTTCATTTGTCTACCATTTATAAAACCAGTTTGATCATGGTGAATCATTTGCTGCATGACTGTCATTAATCTATTTGCCAAAATTTTTGCAAATATCTTATAGTCTGTATTTAATAATGAAATTGGCCTATAATTTTTAGGATCTGTATCGTCATGCCCTTCTTTTGGTATCAACGAAATAAATGCTGTCTTCCAAGTTGGAGGTACCTCTCCTCCCTGTTGTATATTGTTAAATAATTCTTTCAGCGGTTCTATCATTTCCTCCTGTAAGGTTTTATAGTAAATAGCCGTCAAACCGTCCGTCCCAGGAGCTTTACCCACTTTCAACTGCTTAATTGCTTACGCAATTTCCTCAGAAGTTATCGATTGATTTAAACTATCCCTCTGCTCATTTGAAATTGTATAAATATTCTCTTTCTGCAAATATCTATCTATATCTATATCTTTAATTTTATCACCAGTATACAGCCTCGAATAAAACTCTAGAAAGGATTTTTTAATCAATTGTTGCTCATAAACCTCTTTACCCTTATATTTTATTCTCTCTATTGTCCTTGATTTTTGCTTTTTCCTTAACAAATATGCTAAACACCTGCCTGGTTTATTGGCATTGTAAAAAGTATTATGTTTTGCATATCTTAAATTAGTTGCCACTTGATCTGCTATTAACATATTAAATTGACCTTTCAATAAATTGATTGCCTCTTTAATTTTCTTATCTGTTGGATTAGCTACTAAAGCCCGTTCCTGTTTACTAATCTCATCTTCTAATTCTTTTCTTTTTGTCCCCTGTTTCTTTCTATATTTATTATTCAAATATATCAAAATTCCTCGCATATATGCCTTACTTGCATCCCATACCATTTCCATCGATGTGCCCTTTTGCATATTCATAACAAAAAATTCTTTCATAAATTTTTTATACTCTTTTACATTTTCTTCATACCTAAACAAATTATCATTTAACCTCCAGGACCTCCTAGGCCCTTTCTCATACTCCAATTCCAGCCAAACTGGACTATGGTCTGTCAATGTTCTTGAGCAAATCTTCGTATTTTTCACCCTGGATAAAAGATCGCTAGTAATTAATATAAAATCAATCCTTGAAAAGGATTGATGTCTATCTGAAAAAAAAGTAAAATCTTTTTCTTCCAGGTTTCTTTCACGCCAGATATCTCTCAACTCCCAGTCATCCATCATTTCCCAAAACACTTTGGGCAATTTTGCTCTTGTTGACACATTTTGTTTAGGTCCCATCTTGTCTTTTTTAACATCCAAAACACCATTCCAGTTGCCTAACAGGATACAAGTTTTATATGCCCAGTGTGTCAATTTTGAATGTAGTAAATTATAAAAGTTTTCTTGTTGATTCGGGGCATAAACTCCGATTACAAGTATTTTTTTCTCCTTTTACTAAAAGTTCTATCGCTAAAAATCTGCCTTGATCGTCTGCTTCAATTAATTTAGCAACTAAGTCTCTTTTCAAATATATAACTATACCATTTTTCTTTTCTGGTGCTGCTGCTACGTAAGATGTACCAAGTCTTGCATTAATCAGATACTTTTGATCTTGTATTCTTATATGAGTCTCTTGTAAACAAATTACTTCATTCTTAAATTGCTTAAGATAGTGAAATATTTTTCTTCTTTTCTGTGGAGAATTCAAGCCATTAACGTTCCAAGTCAAAAATCTAGTTCCCATTTCTGGGCCTTTGGAGCCTCTGAAGCAAGTCCTGATGCTCTGATCTCATTTGAGTTTTAGGTCTTGCTCCCCCCACTGCTCCTGTTCTAGTAGTATCTTGAATCATTTCTTGAGTTGCCATCTGGGATTGTTGCTGTCTTAATTCTTCCTTGAGTCTAGCTGTCACCGATCTGGTCTGTCTTTGATCCTTTGGTAACTGCGAGAAATCAATCAGCGCCAACTCTTGAGTAGCCATTTGAATTTGTATTTCTTCTTGATCAGCCAAAGCTCCCCCCTGAACTACTGTCAAGAGCTCTTCTGTCTCAGCTTCCATTACTTCTTTCTTTCTTTTGCCTTCTGGTGATTTAGTTGATTTGGGTGTGCCAGCCTTTAATACATTAGTATGAAAATCTCTTGCTTTCCAAATTGTGTTGAGCCGATATCTCTCTCCTGAATAAGTCACCACTAGTCCAGTTGGCACCTCCCATCTGTACTGTATCTGACGTTTTCTCAGTTCATCCACCAGAAAGGCATACTCCCTTCTAGCTCTCAAGATCTTAGGGGGGATTTCTTTCATTGTCATTACTTCCTGGCCTTCCACCCGAAGCTTGTTTTTAAAAGTAGCCTGTAAAATTTCGTTGCGTACTCTCCTTGTAGTAAAATATATCACAATGTCTCTTGGTAGATGTTTCTGTCTAGCAATCCAGGAGTTAACACGGTACAGCTTGTCCATCTGCCAGCCCAGATCATTTTTGGACTCCCCCACCAGCGGTGCCAATGCCTCAGACATCATTTCTCTCAAATTCTCTTGTTTATTCTCCTTCACCCCTCTAAATCTTAAAGCAAATTCCATATCTCTGTATTGTACCATTATTACATCGTCTTCAGCCCTTTGAATTCTGTTTTGAGCTTCTCCTATTTTGCTATCCAAAATTTCAGAAGATTGTTTAATTTCCTCAACTCTGTCATCCACCATCTCAATATTGCTTGCCAGACACTTAAATGCCATTAATATATCATCCCTAATCCCCTGATTGCGAATTGCAATCTCATCTGACACAGCCTGTATCTTTTCATTAGTTTCCTTAATTTTTTCATTAGTTTCCTTAATTTTTTCATCAATCACATCAACAATTTTATTTTGTGTGATTTGGAGAGCTTGTTGCAACATTTCCAACGTTAAAGTCTGTGGATCCGCTGGAGGAGTAGAAACTTGTGATCTAGGAATATGAGCTGGGGAGCTACCAGCACTCCCAGTTCCTTTAGTAGGAACAGTTTTTACAGACTTTGAGGCCATTTCCAGTTTGAAATTAGTCTTTATATTTACTCAGAGTCAAAAAGAAGAGTTCCTCAAAAGATTTCCCAATGTTAATTAACGTTTAAAATCCTCCTTCTGTCAGCACAAAAGCTTTTTTTTTTTTCCCAAGCGAAGGGCTGCCAGCAAAACGAAACTTTTCCTGTAACTTTCCGTTTCCCCCGCCCTTTCAAGCTTCAATCGCCATATTGTTGCAAAGTACTAAGTGATTACTTCCGAAGGAGGCTCTAGGCATTGGAGTTAGGTAAAAAATACTTGCAGTCTGATTTCTCCTTGCTCGTTCCGCCTGCTGTTAGTTCAAGATGTTAATTCCCTCATTTCCATTCAGCAAGATTGGTCGCGGCTTCTAATTCCGCTAATTAGCTAATTAGCGGAGACGTCCCTGGTCTGGAGCGGCTTGACAGGCTTTTAGGGAACGCACACCCTTCGCGCCCCAGGATTTTTCCTAGGGCGTTCGGGGGGGTTCTACCTCCACCTGCCTGCTCTTCTCTCTCCCCTTTGCCCGGGGGAAGAATTTCAAGCCTCCAGACAGCGTTTGTCGGCTGTTCTGGGGCTTTAACGGAGCCAGGGAGCAGACGCTCTCAAAAGAACGTCTTTCAAAGCTCGCGGAGCCAGCGGAAGTCCCCTTTCTCACTTAACTTTTGAACAGCTCTGAAGCCTTTCATAGTGCTGGAATGGGATGCTTTGTTGCTCATAGCACGATTCTGGAGTCGTACCATGGATGAGGAATATACTGCTCCATTTTTCTGCCTTTTAGAATCTTTCTGTAACAATGTGCAAGTTCATTAAGGCAGAAAAATGGAATGGTTTGTTACTGGGTCTCACAACAGCAATCCAGAAATGGCTGTCATTTTGACCCTGTGGACAGCTACAAGACAAACCACTATTTTGCTGCCTTAACGAGCTTGCACATGCAGTGCAGTCATTCATTCCAACACTCTGGAAGCCTCGGAGCTCTTCAAAAGGTAAGTGAGGAAGAGGGTATTTGGCCTGATGAGGTGGGAATCAGGCATAAGGCTTGGGGTGAACCAGTGGAGTGGGCAAAGGCTTGTGGGGATTAACGAGGCAGGATGTGAAGGGAGAGTTGTCTCGGGAGGTGGGGGAGGCTTTTGGAGGACTGGGACAGGTTCAACCCTGAGACACTCCATGCTCCACTTAACAACCTGCACATTAGTTTAACGATTGCTTTGGTAAGAACAGGGATTGGAGATCGTTAAGTGAGATACTTCACTTAACAATCATCATGACATGCAACTGTAATAGGCAGCTCTATTGTGGTTGTATCTTGAGGACTACCTGTATTTCAGATGTTTTCTACTAGGAATATTAATGTAAATAGTTCAGCAAGCATATATTCCCCCATGAAATATGTAAAATCTTCTGAGTAGAAATGTAGCTTTATATACTGAGTCAACAATGTTTAACATAAAAGAAAACTAATCTTTTGTGGGAACTTAAGTTTAAAGATTTCAATGAGTTATGAAGGCTTGCATAGCTGTGTAGAACTACAGTAAGTTAAATAGAAGTTATATTTAAGTTTTCTTATGCAGTTGGATATAGCCTTAATTATGCTTGATTTTTCAGAATGCTTTTCCTGTTTCTGGACAACTGTACACTACTCATTTGCTGTCACTTGAAGCATTGTTGACAGTGACTGATCAAATTGAAGCACGGTGCCAAGCCAAAGTACTCAGAGGCATATATCAGCAAGAGAAAGAAATACTAAAACCAAATGCAGAAATTGCCAATATCATTAGAGAAGCAAGTGAGAATCATTTATTTGATATTTCTTTTTAAGTAGATAGTGACATTTGCCATTCTTGATCCTATTGCAGGTAACAATTGTTCTGTTCCATGTTTTATTTTAACAAACTATTATGTCTGTGCTATCTTAAACCTGTTTATGTCTATTGTGGATTTTTTTCTGTTCAAGATCATTTGTAATTTTTAATTTTGCAGACAAATTTGGCAAGGGACATACTTATTTGGGACCCCAATATTAGAGAGAATTCCTTTTGTTATTTGTACCCACTTGAACATTAATAGCCTCATTACTCATTTGTAAAATAATAAGGATAATCCTCTTTAGGAGGGCATTTATGTAGCAATGATTGCTAATAATAGCAATAATTGTTATAAGGATTATTTAATGCTTTGAATTGCTTTTTGTTTTTACCAGTATTTTTTTGGATGGTTTTAGTTTCAGTTTACTTTTACGCATTGCAAGCCACTGAGAATCATAAAAATATGTGGCCTACAAAAACAAATGATAGATAGACAGACAGATAGATACTCTTCTTACCCTATAGTTACTGAAGAACTGCAAACAAAACTTAAATCATCCACTGCAGAATTACCGGAGACATGTTCATCGAGTAATGACTGCTTGGCGACCTCCCACTTGAAACAGCAAGACTGTTTGAATTCAGATATGGAAAATGATACAGGTAAATCTGATTTTTAGTTTAGTAGTGGTAGCCTGGAACAGTGAAGCATATAAATAATATGGACTTGGTTTTGTGGTTCATCATTCTAGTTGGCTGTGAATAAGACTGGTGAATGATTGGGGGTCTTATCATATATTAATATGATATATATGTATGTATTATTTGGTGTTTTATCCCATACATAGTATACAGTAGGATATTGCTATATATCCCTTTCCTCCTTTTTTCAGTGGTTAGGACTTCATAGTGTTTCTACTGCAAAATTCTAGCAAGTATTTGCTAGAATACTCCTCTATTTTAATATATATGGCTGAATCTGAAGGTCCTGTTTTTTTGTTAAATAATAATTTCTGTCAGAATTGTGGCTGATAAAGAAGAGCAGTATTGCTGGCTTGTGAAGTTGAAAGTTGTTTTAATTGATTATAATCAGCAATGCTAGCTGTTTGAAAGGCTCTACTGTAAAAGCAGCCAATTGTTTTTTTGCAGAAAAGATCATCCCAAGAAAGCCTACTCGATTTTCCTGCTTCCTACCCAGAACACAAGAACTGATAATGATTAAGAATAAAAAAAAGGTATGGCATGTTGTTTCTGAAGCATCTGAAGTATTGTGGTCATTATGCATACAGTAAAGATGTGTGTTCATTCTTAAGTACAGTAGTAAACATAGACATAAAAGAAGAAAGGGGGGGATCAGATTTGAATATGCTATTCTAAAGTGAACTTTAAATACTTCTATTAGCATTTGAAAATATAGAAATAGAAGGACCCAAATAAATGCCAGAATTCCTTATAGGTGGAAAACATCAGGAAAGAACTGAGTTGGGGATTTACAAAGGCAATGGAAATGTTTTTAAAACATGTATAACCAATTCTCTTCAGTGCTGAAAACAACTTGCAAAAACATAATAGAATGGAATGGAATGGAATGGAATGGAAGGGAAGGGAAGGGAAGGGAAGGGAAGGGAAGGGAAGGGAAGGGAAGGGAAGAGGAGAGGAGAGGAGAGGAGAGGAGAGGAGAGGAGAGAAGAGAAGAGAAGAGAAGAGAAGAGAAGAGAAGAGAAGAGAAGAGAAGAGAAGAGAAGAGAAGAGAATTCTTTATTGGCCAAGTGTGATTGGACACACAAGAAATTTGTCTTGATGCATACGTTCTCGGAGTACATAAAAGAAAAGATACATTTGTCAAGAATCATAAGGTACAGCACTTAATGATAGTCATAGGGAAACAGTCAATATAAATCGTAAGGACACCAGCAACAAGGTTACAGTCATACAGTCATAAGTGGGAGGAGATGGGTGATAGGAACAATGAGAAGATTAATAGTAATGCAGACATAGTAACTAGTTTGACAGTGTTGAGGGAATTAGTTGTTTAGCAGAGTGATGGCGTTCGGAAAAAACTTCTTGTGTCTAGTTGTTCTGGTGCGCAGTGCTTTATAATGTCGTTTTGAGGGTAGGAGTTGAAACAATTTATGTCCAGAATGCGAGGGGTCTGTAAATATTTTTAACTGTAAACATTAGAAAGTACAAGCATTAAATAAGAAAATAAAATTGCATAACAATAACTAAAACATTTTATTTAGTAATTTGTTAGATTTGTATCTCACAATCTATATAGGAGCTCAGAGTGTTGCTTTTTTGTAATGGAACATGAGAAAAACTTTGGAGACAGCACGAACAGATGTCGTTAGAGAACAATCTTAGAGAACTATCCCTAAGATAAGAGAGGGCATAGCCCACACCTGGAAACAGGGCAGAGCAAGAGACTCAAATGGGAGCCTCCTTAGTTTTTTGGGCTATAAATAAGATAATTATTTGTACTTTCAGACTAACAAGGTTCTGTTAATGTAGCTCTACACTAAAGTAGCAATAAAGGAGGATATTTGTAGCTCAGGGTTGAATGAAACTTTGGTGCTCTCTGAGCTTGGTTTTCTTGCAGATGTTTCATTACCCAAACTAGGTAACAAGATCACTTATGTTTGAGTAATGTTACCTAGTTAGGAAATTGAAACCTCTGCAAGAAAACAACCAAGCTCAGAAACCACCAACGATTTCCTGATACTAAAGCAAAATTTGCATATGTATTAATTTATTTAATTTACTGATTGTGTTTCCTGTCTAATCCATCTGGTAAGGCTGACAGTCCTTCATTTTTTCCCCCACAATAACTTGAGTCAGAAGAGTCATGCTTTTAACTTCTATGCTTAAGAGTGGACATTAACCTGGTTTTGTGTAGACCCCAGGGTGCATATGTATCATCTCTCCTGTGGGAGCTGCATTGGCTGCCAATTAGCTTCCAGGTACAATTCAAGGTGCTGGTTGTCACCTTTAAAGCCCTTATTGGGATCAGGTTATCTGAGGGACCGTCTCTTGCCGGTTACATCTACCCGACCCATCAGAGCTGGGAGGCAGGGGAATGCTGCGGGTCCCATCTCCTAGGGAGATACCCCTGGTTGGACCCAGAAGAAGGGCCTTCTCCATGGTGGCTCCCTCTCTCTGGAACATCATTCCCCCAGAGTTTAGAATGGCCCCTACTCTAACACTCTTCCAGAAGGCGCTGAAGACCTGGTTCTGCCAGTGGGCCTGGGGAACCCAGAACAGGATGGAGCCCATTAAATGGTTCGTGTGATCTGCTGTTGCTGGGGTGGGGGTGGGAGGGGTGATTTTATTATATTATATTAATTTATTTGATTCTTTTTTTATTAGTTTTATTGTTTTAAATGAGGTTTTATATTCTGTAAGCAGCTTTGAGTCGCCATGTGCGAATAGATATAAATTCAATAAATTCAATAAATAAATAGAAATAAATAAACCTGAGTCTATGCAGTTCTCCTGTAGTACCTTAATTATACACTGCACTGATTCTGATTCTAGGTACCATGATTTACAATAGAGGCCAGAAAATTTGTTGTTAAGTAGTACAGTCATTAAGTGAAGCATTACATGACCACTGAATTTTACCCACATTTTTGCCATTGTCATCAAATCAACATGATCATTGAGCAAGACATCAGGTGACTATGACTTGACACCTCCTCTGATGGCTTCTCCGTTGACTTTGCTTGTAAGAAGACAGCTGGGAATGTCGTAAATGTATTATTTATTTATATTTTGTATTTTTTAAGCTCCCATCTTCCTCAGAGATCACATGACCGCAGGATGCTGTAACTGTCATAAATATGCAACACCCTAAATCAAGGACCCGGCTGTACTAGCGAACTATCGTCCAGTCTCCAACCTTTGCTTTGTGACAAAGGTTGTTGAGAGTGTGGTGGCGCGACAACTTCTCCAGTACCTGGATGAAGCTGTCTATCTAGATCCGTACCAGTCAGGCTTCAGGCCGGGGTACAGCACGGAAACGGCATTGGTCGCATTGGTTGATGATCTCTGGAGGGCTCAGGACAGAGGCTGTTCCTCTGTCCTGGTCCTATTAGACCTCTCAGCGGCTTTTGATACCATCGACCATGGTATCATGCTGCGCTGATTGGAGGGGTTGGGAGTGGGGGGTACCATGTTGCGGTGGTTCTCCTCCTTCCTCTCTGACCGTACGCAGTTTGTGTTGGCAGATGGACAGAGGTCGACCTCGAGGCGCCTTGTTTGTGGGGTGCCACAAGGGTTGGTCCTCTCGCCCCTTCTGTTCAACATTTATGTGAAGCCGCTGGGTGAGATCATCCGTGGTTTTGGGATGAAGTGGCTGTGGTTTCCGGCGTCCCGATATAGCCAACTAGCTCCATTGCTGGCTATTGGGGGCGAGATCTTGACCCCCTCAGAGAGGGCTTGCAACTTGGGTGTTCTCCTGGATGCACGGTTGTCTTTAGAAGACCATATGATGGCTGTAGCCAGGGGAGCTTTCTATCAGGTTCGCTTGATTCACCAGTTGCGTCCCTTTCTGGACCGGGACGCCTTGCGCACGGTCACTCATGCCATCGTCCCGTCCCGTCTGGACTACTGTAATGCTCTCTACATGGGGCTCCCCTTGAATAGCACCCGGAGGCTCCAACTGGTCCAGAATGCAGCAGCGCGGGTAGTGATGGGAGCAGCATGGCGCTGGTCACCACCTTTAAAGCACTCCATGGCTTAGGACCTGGGTAAATTGGTTGAGGGTAAATTGCCCTCTGTAGAGCACAGCGGTATACCAGGCAGCGTTGCAACACAGATACTTCCAAACTCTGAACGTTTTAGTAAAAAGAATAGTCTTTACTGTGATAGTTCAAACAAAGCTTCTCGTAAACAAATATAAAGCTTTCAATACAAAACATTGTTGCTTACATTTCTAGTTCCGTAACTCCGACACAATATCTCTCAGCAATAACATCACAAGTAGGAGTGAGCAGTATTAGCAAAGCATACGTGAGCGTGCGAAGAAAAAAGGGGGAAGAGTGAAGAGTACTGCTGAGCTTACTGCCTTCCTTATATTTCCGTTTCAACCAATTACTGAATTAGTTACTTTACAGTAGTTAAAGTCATAGTACACATTTTTGATATATTGTCTACCCAACTGTAAGATACAGATCCAACATTCTCCCCTTTGGGTAGACTGATATATCTACGATCTTAAACGATATTGTTCACATGTATCTATATGTTTTCTAGTTCCCTGTGCTTTCGTAAAGTGATTTGCCACGTTGTCTTCTGAAGCACAATATACAAGTTCAATCATTTTGTTCTTTATACATTCCCTGACATTAAGATATCAAAGATCTGTATGTTTTGTTCTAGTCTTTACGGCTATATTTGTAGCCATTTTTATCGCTGCTTGGTTATCTTCATTGACTATTATAGGATCTTGTATATTTATTCCTATATCTATCATTAGTTGTTTAATACTGATCAAATCTGTACATAATAAAGACAAACAAGAAAACTCTGCCTCCATTGTAGACAGACTCAGATGTTTCTGTGTTATTGAACGCCACCCTATCAAAGATTTCCCCAGAAATATGGCTATTCCTGACGTTGGTTTTCTTGTATGAACATCTGTAGCAAACTAGCATCTGCATAAGCGGTTAAACGCAATTCTTCTGCTGGTTGCAGATATAAAGCATGATGCATGGTGTTTTTTAAATACCTAAGGATACGTTTTGCACCTTGCCAGTGAAATTCTGTAGGTTGCATGTTGTATCTAGCTAACTGATTCACGCTAAAAGCGATATCAGGTCTAGTCCAATTATTAATGTATAATAAGCTGCCAATTAATGATTGATATATCCCTTTTTCCAGAACGCTGCTACTACACTCCAGCATTGGGAAAATCCTCGTATCTGACAGCAACTGAGAGAACATTTTTACTACTTAACTTCCTACTCTGTGCTCTCTCCACGCCCCCTTTTGCACACGAATCCCCAGTCTTTCTCTCAGTTGCTGACAGACTGAGAGGGTTTTCTCTGTGCTCTGAGTATTGCGTTAGGTTTTTTGGTTATTTTTGATTAGCCCCCTTTTTTTGTTTTGGTTGAATTTCGGTCAGGTTTAGGTTTTAATTTCTCCTGCGAGTCAGTCAGCTGTTCGTCGGTTTCGTGCCCGGGATCTGGGTCGTACCGGCTTTCGCGCCTCTGCGCTTGCTGCCGCCAGCTTCTGT